AAAACTCTCACACACTGCTGGTGGAAATGTAAAATGATACTATCACTTTGGAAAAACTGTTTGACAGTTTTTAAGAAAGTTAAATTATCATATGATCCAATCACTTCACTCTTAGGTATTCACCCAAGAGAAAAGAAAGCATAGGTCCACACAAAGACTTGTTCGTGGATGTTTAAAGCAGCTTTATTTGTAAGAGTCAAACACTGGAAATAACCTAAATGTCAGTCAACAGGTAGAGGGATAGACAAACTGATGGGTTCAATACAGTGGGGTCCTATTCAATAAAAATGAATTACTGATACAGACTACAACATGGATGAATCTCAAAATAATTTTGCTAAGTAAAAGAAGCCAGTAAAAGGGGGTACATACTGTATGATATGTTAATATATCACTCATGCTTTAAACCAACATTTCAAGTGATTTAAAGGAAATCTTCCTATTTATTCTTATCATGAGACCAATATAGAACTGCATTAATATATCACATACTCCATTTATATAAAGCTCAAGGAAATGCAAAATTATAGACAGTGGCATAAGGCACAGTGCTTCCTTGAGAATGGTATATAGGCAGGTGTGGAGAAGTGGGTGGGAGGGATTAGAGAGGAGCCTGAGAAACTCCTGGGGGTGATGGGTAGTTTCATTCTCTTGACTGGTTTGTAGGTGTATGTCAAATTCAACTTGTACATTTCAAATTTGTCAAGTTCGCTTCAGTAAAAGACTAGAGAGAAAGAGAGAGAGAAAGAAAGAAAAAAAAAGAAAGAAAAGGAAGCAAGCAAAGGAAGAGAGAAGGAAAAAAGAGAGGAAGAGAAAGAAGAGGAAAGAAAGAAATCCAAAACAAAAATTTTGACAAATCATTTCTCACCTATTAAAGTGGGAAAAATAAATACCTAAATACTCCATTTTCTAGAACATCCACAAATGTTTATATTTAAATACGCATAGAGATGGAGTTCTATATTGATCTTATTCTCAGAATAAATAGGAAGATTTCCTTTAAATAACTTGAAATGTTCATTGCAAACACACGTGATATATTAACAAATAATTTTAAAGTTTTCTCCGCAATGGGAAGGATTTTCTGAAAGCCATTTTAGAATATAAAAATTTAGGGGCGCCTGGGTGGCGCAGTCGGTTAAGCGTCCGACTTCAGCCAGGTCACGATCTCGCGGTCCGGGAGTTCGAGCCCCGCGTCAGGCTCTGGGCTGATGGCTCGGAGCCTGGAGCCTGTTTCCGATTCTGTGTCTCCCTCTCTCTCTGCCCCTCCCCCGTTCATGCTCTGTCTCTCTCTGTCCCAAAAATAAATAAAAAACGTTGAAAAAAAAAAAGAATATAAAAATTTAGAAATATCATAATGAGACCAAATACATGCTTCCTGCGAACATAATACTATATCATACCAAGTACTAAAAGAAAAACAGAATTTATACAGTTTGGCACAATTTAAGGCATTGCTTGCCTTTCCCCATTTATCAGATGCAAAATATTTCAGCTCCTTTAAGTTAGTTTTGGAAAGCTGACGTTCTTTGTAGTGTGCTATGAATTTGACCTCACCAATTACAAATAAAAAAGTGCTTTCATAGTTTCGGCACCCAGAATAACGATTCTTTAATGAAGTCATCGCTAAATTACGACTTGAAAGCCAAATGGTTTCTGAGGTTTTCTAATAAGCTTAGTTTTGCACAATGAGTGAAATACTTCATACATATTCTAGCATTAATGAATTCATACCCACACCGTCACTTGTGGATGTGCCCCTCCACATAACCACTGACATCATATGTTTTACATAATTCATTTCTGTGTGTCACAGTGGGTCAGGAATAGTTCAGAGGGAGAAATTTGGAGCCAGGTATCTGGCTCAGGTCAAGCCTCCTTTCAATATAATTTCTGTTTCCTAAACAGTTTCAAATGAGGTTATTTATATGCACTAGCTGTTCTCTGCCAGAAGATCTTAAAATGCAGCAAGGCAACAGTTTAAATAACATCCTAATCCTCCAACGGGCCCAAAAGAATAAGGTGCAGATAAACAGGGACAGCCTCGCACCTGAGATGTGGATCTAAAGAAAGTAACACTGCATTATCCCATAATGTTCCCGCTATCTGGTGAACACAGATTCATTGGTCATTCAACATCTGAAAACTTTCTCAACCTCCTCAAATCTCAATTTCTTAATTTCTCCAGTGTTAATAATAAGAAGAAAGGTATCAATATGATAGTGATGATTCTGAAAACCATGGCCATCTGGTGCTGTAGGAATCGGAGGAATAGCATCTGTCCATCACCTAATACCATGCCTGGGGCTCAGTCCATTTGTTCAGTCCAATGGACTCAGACAGTAATGACTGAGTGCTATTTTGGCAGCAGAGACTCTATCCTGGGGACACAGAGATGAATAAACAAAGGCCAGTTGATACTCTAAGGATGCAGTTTACCAGAAGAGTTCAAAAATTAAAGGCGCAGAGAACAGTGTAGTAAAGGCGAATAGGGAACCACCATTTTCAGATAGGTAGCACAGGTTTCATTGCGTTTGGGTGGTCAAGATATCTTCACAGAATTAAACAGGTTTCATCCTTCAATTTCCTTCTCTTCTGTTACAGCAAACTGCAGCTATTTTAAAAGAGGCTTCTGATGGGGTACCTGGCTATCTCAGTCGGTTAAGCGTCCAGCTTCAGCTCAGGCCATGATCTCACAGTTTGTGAGTTCAAGCCCCGCATCTGGCTCTGTGCTGACAGCTCAGAGCCTGGTTCAGCCTGCTTCTGATTCTGTCTCCCTCTCTCTCTGCCCCTCCCCCACTCGTGCTCTGTCTGTCTGTCTTTCTCTCTCAAAAATAAACATCAAAATAAATTTTAAAGAGGCATCTGAGATCTACTTGCAGTTTGGTTCCTCATGATACATAGCAGAATCAGTTCTGCTGAGTGACCGTCCAAGAGTTCCGAGATTCTAAAGGGATTGTCTGATGAGGAGACAGCCCTAACTGCGGATATCTTATGGCCTTGAGGTCCCTAATTCTAACCTCCTTCAGCTGAATGTATTCTTTTAGAAATGTAAAAACACAGCAGAACACAGCAGAACCAACTACTTCCAACCCTGGGGATCCCAACTGTATTACATGTAAATTGAAAGAAGTAAGATTCTGAACTCCAGGAAGCTAATTGGGAGCCCTGAACAGAAATCCTAAATGTGGTAATTGGCACCTTGTCCTTTTCAGTGTCATATGCAGCCAACTAGAGGGTTACCTCTAGGGTGCTAATTGATTAGCCTTGTTAGAGGGAAAGGCAGTAAACAGAGATTGGTGAGCTGAAGTCTCTCCAAAACTGCAATTTAACTGCTAACCCAAGGGTTCCAAGCAGAGAAAAAAATGTTTTTATACGGTGCCAGTGAGGGATACTTTCTCTATGGGCAACAGAATTATAAATAGTTCCAATATATACATTTAAAAACCTTCATTATTAGGCTTTTTTTTTTTTTGCTAGCTGAAAACACACAATATAAGATTAAATAACAACTACACTCAGAAAGAAGATTTCTAATAAAGTTCATATTCTACCACTCTAGATTGGTCTCCCTTGACTTCTATTTCTTTAACAAAACCCCTCCTGCTGAAAATACTTATGGATTTGAGAGACAAGTTCAGTCTGTCGGGAGTCAGGTTAAATGAACGTGACTTAGAAAAGAGATGTTAAAAATAATATAAAAACGGAGGGACAAAACAGAAGAGACTCATAAATATGGAGAACAAACTGAGGGTTGCTGGAGGGGTTGTGGGAGGCGGGATGGGATGGGCTAAATGGGTAAGGGGCATTAAGGAATCTACTCCTGAAATCGTTGTTTCGCTATATGCTAACTAATTTGGACGTAAATTTTAAAAAATAAAAAATAAAATAAAAAAAAAAAGATGTTAATGTTTTGGAACAAAAATAACTGCAGGAATGAGATTCTGGATCTACAGTTCACTAGATCATTTGTTCTTAGCTGGGGATGCTGAGATGGGATGGGAGTGGTAGAGTAGAACTGGTGAATCCGGAAAGAAATAGAGAAACCAAAGAGTGAGGTCCCTAGCCCATAGGGGAGCCCATTTGACTTCTGTCATTACCGAATAACTATTTCCATTTACTTGTGTGACTTCACCCACCATTTTCATATCCCAAACATCTTATTTGAGGTAGACTATTAAAGTTCATCATCCTCATTTCATGGATGAAAAGATCCTGAGACTTTAAATGACTTGGTCATTATGACTGGGTTCTTGTCTGGGTTTCAGGATTGTTCTAGAAACATCTATGGTAGAGTCTAGGGGATCCCCTTACTAAAACTGAATCAGGAGTACACAGATAGCTAATGTTTTCTTTAGGGGAAATCCTCAAATTAACATAAAAGTGGAGGACTAATGTAATGAACTCCCATGTCCCCATCACCCAACCGCAACTTTTCTCAACAGCCTGTAATTTGGCTACCCGAGGCTTGGGCAGGTACTAACTGAGGCTCAGGTAAAAAGGACCTGACTATCCCAGGGTGTAACAGAGCTCATAGAAGAGACAGGACCTCAAGGGTCAGAGCTAGGTCTGTCATTTGCTGATTTGTAAGGGTGTGAATTAGAAATATCTGGAAAAGACTGTGATTTAACCCTTAGCCTAAATAAACCAAATAATGTGATTTACCCAATCTGTACCTTTTTTGAATACCAGAATTTCCTCCTGTATAAGCGAATACTTTGAGGTAACCACGATGTTCATGATATTGGGGGGCCACACCATTGCTCACCTAACTTCCCTACTGCCCAGTCATATCACTTAGCTGGCACTCTACCCACTTTGCCTCATTCTACAAGATAAAGAACACTCCATGTTTTGTTTTTAAGATCTTTACTAATGAAATGTGAAAACAAAACTATGTCAGGAAAATCTCAACATTCATTAGGGAAGTTAAAGTTTTGTTAACTGTAATGCTTAAAACAAAGAAACAAGAAAGAATTTCTGCAAACTTCATTTCTTACCAGTGTCCTGTGTCTTTGTTGTGTATTTGACTCTGAACTTGCAGATGTGGTGCTGAAATAAAATAAGAGTTTAGAATTCCAAAATTTTATTTCAGAAGTGCACACAGTTGTACACACACATACACACCCCACATCAAATAGATCCCTACACTGTGACATTGAAGATAATTGTTCTAAAGTATTTCCTCCAAATGTCAATTTCTGAACATTTCTAAAGGAAATCAAAACTATGGAATGTAAACTTCACTCAAAGAAGATAAAATAGCCTTTAAAGGTTCTCTTGAGAATAAGCAGTCTGAACAGTACAGTCTGTTCTGAAAACCTGCAAAATCTCTTCTTTCAACTAAAAAAAGAAAAAGAAAAAGTGGAAGAAAGCGTACCGTCCTGTGGAAACAGCAGACTTGGGGAATTCTTTGTCTCCTACACTGTTCCTCAATCAATCTCTCTTTCTGGGATCATTTCCAGAAGTTTACAAACATGCTGTTATTTATTGCATCTTGAGGTCTCTTAACCCTTTTCTTTCTGCTTGATTACTCTGACCCCCTTTATAACGAAGCTATAGCCTCATTGTCTCTAATTCCTTCCCTCCTTGCAGCTCCATTCACATTCTCCTAAGTACCACCCATATAAATTGCACTTAGTCCATCAGCGATCTCCACATCGCTGTTACTGCTATGATCATTTGTCACATTTCACATTACATGACAGCTTTCGACATGATTCATCACTTCCTCCTTGACATGCTCTTTTCACTTGGCTTCCTAAGGTCCCAGGTTTTCTTCCTGTCCCACTTGCTGCTCCTTCTCAGTTTGCTTCAATGGTTCTTTGTCTCTCTCTGAGCTCTCACTTTTGGCATGCTCCCAGGCTTCCTCTCTCCTCTACCCATATCTGCTCCATTGTCGATGTCACCCATCCTCATGGCTTTAAGTTCATCAATATGCCGGTCACTGCCAAGGACACATTTCCACACTTCTCCCTCGAATTCCAGAATCATTCGTGCAATTGCCTTCTTGACATCTCCACTGGATGCCTGATAGATATCTCAAGTTTCAACATTTTCTAACCTACCTCCTAATTCTTACCCCCAATCTTCTGCTCACACTCTTCCCCATCTTAGTTGATGATGACAATATCCTTCCACTTGCTCAGGCTGACACCTTGACTCTCTTTCTGTGTCAGATCCCATAAGCAATTTTAACAGCACACTCTTGGCTCTACAATCAAACTATATCCAGTATCCGACCAACTCTTACCATCTTCTCTTAACACCCTAGTTCAAGCCCCAAGCTACTGTCAGCTCTTGCCTGGATTATTGCATGAACCTCCAAGATGGTACTGTCTACATTCTATTTTCAGTACACCTACAATAACGACCATCATTTCACTCCTCTGCTCAAAGTACGGGATCTCATTTCACTCAGAATAAAAGCCAAAACCTGTACAATGGCGTATGAGGCCCTACAGGTCTCACCAAACCACCCTTCCCATGTACTGTAGGACTTCCTACTCCCTCCTTCCCCTTCCCATACAAGTCCACCTTTGCCTCTCTGAATTCATCTGATACTCTCCTCAGTCAGTCACGCTGGCTTCCTTGCTGTTCCTCAACCTTCTCATCTAGGCTCCCATTTCAAGTCCTTCTGCCAGGAACATGTACTCCATACTTGCCTCCTTCGCTCTTTTCCACTCCCTTCTTGTCTTTGTGCAAATATGCTTTCTCGCTGAGGCCTCCCATATGTGCCTCCTTTAAAATTGACCTCTCCACCTTCTCTCCATCCTCATCACCTTGTTTAATTTTTCTTTGCTGTACTTACCACCTTCTAGCATCCTGTGGAACTTGTTTGTTTATTATATTTATTGTGCCTCCTCCCACTTGAAAGTACAAAGTTCTTGAAGATAGAGAATTTTTTTCTAGTTTGTTACCCTTTCTCTAGCATCTTGAAGAAGACTAGAATGGTCCATAAATATTTATTTATGAGTGAATGAATCCATGGATGATTTAGTAAATATCTAGTCTTAATAAGTCTTGTTCTTCTGCTGTCAACCAATAAGCCTTACTCTAAAATCCTAGGGTACTTTTATTATTTTCTGTCCTACTATCTCCCTCGCGAATGTGTTATTTTTTTCCATGTTATTGTGCACGTCTCTCACTTTTCAAAACCATATAAAACCATTTAAAATGTTCGCAAAGTAATCAGTGACAATTGAGCAAAGTTAATTAGATTCCCAGTCAGTGGAAGGACACACTGGGGTTTTGAGAGATGTAATTGCTCTTCTCACATCATATCAAATCAGCAAAAACCAGTATTTTGGTGCTTTGTACTTGACAGTATCTCTTTATCACGAAATGGAAAACAAAGTTTTGCCATCATATTGCCGGGCAAACCAACAAATAGTTTTGAAGGACCTTAATAAACTGCCCCCTCTTACCATCTAATTTTATCATCTATCAGTGGATCTTGCAAAAATGCCACTTTCATCAAACTGTACTCCTCAATACTTCCAGAATATATGTTTATCCTTTTCGTTGGTTGTTTCCTCAGACAAGAATGCTCTTACTCTCTTCTCTGTTTGTGAAAATCTTACCTATTCTTCATTCCATGACTCAAATTCTGGCTCTTCCTGACGCTTCTTTGATCCTACCAATCAAAACTGTTTCTTGCCCCTGTGTCCACAAGCAGTATTTGGATATCTGTCTCTTCAAACCCTGATGCCATTTAATCATGTAAATGATTATTTGTCTACCTATGTTTTTGTACATCTCAGTGACATCTCCTAGAGGACAAGGAATATCCTTGTTTATTTTTCATTCACCCAATGATATACCAAGCAAGAAATTAATAGTTGGTCACTGAATGAAGCCAAAAAAATAAAAACGAAAACAAAAACAAAAACAAACAAACAAACAAACAAACAAAACATTGTGGGTACAGTACCCTTAAGTGCATCTTCAGATGTACAACAAATGTTCAACTGAAACCACTTTCTTTTAATAATGCCTGAAGCAAAACTACTGATTTAAAAGTGAAGGAGCTTTGGCTGCCTGACAATAATATTTAAAGGTCATGAGTCATGGCCTCAGAGTAACCATAGCTACTCGGCATACACAGCACAAGTCATGTTTATAATATAATTCAGGAGAAAAAAGCTTTAGAAAGCCTATTAGCCTTGAGAGAAAACAAATTAGAATTAACAAATGTATTTATGAAGCTTGTTTTTATTGCACTGGTTTTGTTTTACTTCAGGGTTCATGGAAAAACTGAGAAAATTCTTTAAATTTCTATCAGCAGGGAGTATTAATATGACATTTCGGCTTTACAGTAATTTTTTTTCTTAGTAATTGATAAGAAGTTAAGTATTTCCTTCCTTTAAGTGAAATATCTATCTGTTGTCCAAACTTCGTACACTGTTTGTTTGTTTGTGTTGGAGTAGTGATCAGTTACCACTTCGTCCGTGTGATGAACAGATGTTGATAAAACTGGTTTGGAAACAGCTATTGAGCAGCTGAATCTTATGGGGAAGAATTTCCTGGGAAAATGCCTTTTTTTAGTCCCTGGGTTAATTGCATCCAAGGCCTAACCTTCTTTTCTCAGACAAGCAGAGGAGCAAATTCCCATTTGATGTCTATAAACTATAGACAGGATTTCCCCCAAGGGCCTGAGAAGAAGAGGGGAGAGAGAAGTAGGGCAGACGCCCAGGCACATGTGACCATTTTGCTCCTGCTTAGAAGTGAAGAAGCTGGACTGAACCCATCTAAGGGTTAACCAAGGTAGCATGTCCTCAGCTGTGTCCTACATCAAAGCCCTGCTCTCTACTTGCACAGAACACTCAGTTCCATATACCAGGAGAACAAAAACACCAATGATAATTTGCAGTGAGAGCAAAGTCCTGCTTTTCACTTGGTTTCCCTGCTGGTTGTACACTTGGCTGTTCATTTCAAAGTTGTTAATCACAGGGCATTTTCTCTTCAGTTGGTAACATTATGTTCACCTCTCCTATTGTCAGCACATTGACATATTATCTCTTTAGGTGCTGTGTTCAGGGAAATTAAAAGAACATAGGTGTTTGATAAATTTCATTTTCTTTAGCAGACAAAAGACTCCCTCCTCCCAAAGATTGTTCATCTTTTGAAGGTCACAGAACTTCTGCACCTAGAAAAAACATTTCACATAAAGTTTGGGGGGATTTGTGAATATCCCACAGCATCTGTGGTCCATAGACCCAAGGTTAAAAACAAATAAAAACAAGACCCACACCTTTCATGCAATAAAAATACGTTTTAAAGCCTAAGCAGTACTACAGTTACGTGTGTACATATCACAAGACACCATCCTCCACAGTCCACCTCTTTCTACAGAGGAGGCGTGGTCATCTCCTATGCTAGGCTTAAAAGAAAATGCTAATTGACAAGGTATTTCTATATTTGAAGGGAAAATGAGTAATGTCCCAACATGCAGATTTTCCAGTGATTAACTGTAGATTAGTTATAAAAGTAAATTTTACTTCCATATGTGTAGCCAGAGTTGGTTTGGGTTTTTATTTGAGGAGCCTTGGAATGACCTAGCTTCTTTTGTGGATATCTCCTGGCAAGGGAGCAGTGAAGGTGACATTTCATTACAGTGGTTCTCAGCCTTCCCCTTCAATGCCAATAAAATGGTTGGGGTGAGTATGTGATTCTGAGAAGAGCAAGTAAGGGACATTTTATTCATTCAACAAATATTTATTGAACACCTATTGTGTGTCAGACCCTGCCCTATGAAAGCACCATTCAAAGAAAGGGGTCATTTCCCTGGAACAGGTGAAAAGACTGTTTGATATTTTTCCTCAGGCTTTAAAGAAAGGTTTCCTTTGAAGCACTGAGTAAAGTCCACTCTATCTAGAAATTTCCAAGAATTCTTTGGGACAGAAGGAGCTGAGAACTCACCTGCTTCTCCCTGGGGTTTCATACCCTGGGGCCACAGATTTCTTGCTGTAACATTCTCCCATCTCGTCAGGGCCACTGGGATACCCTGTCCATGGGACAGACATCAACTATCTCCATGCCTTAGTTTCAGAATCCCTGTTACTGCTCTACTGTTTCCTGTTGCTAGGCAACCACAATGGCTGCGGGAAGAACAGTTAACTTCCCAAAGGAAAAAAAAAAAAAAAAACTCAATTACAAAGCCACAGTAACCCCTCACAACATTTCACAAATCAGATCCAGGCATGAGTATTCATGAGGAATCACCACATATTCATCATTTCTGGAAAACGCATTCAAAGTGGGCCAGAAGCAGTGGTTTTGTGCTCAAGCCATGGCCTGTTTGCATCTAGAATCAGTGCTGACGGTCACACTGCTTGTCTAAGAGGGGTGCATACACAGAAACGGATGGGTTTACAGGCTAGCAGTAGTTTGGCACAGACTACCCCCAGCTTGTGATGATATTCTTTACCTGGGACCCATAGACCCCAGACAGAAGATCCCACCTGGCCACATCCTAACTAAGGCTTCTTTCCTGATGCAGGATTGCAGAGGTGGTAAATTGTGCCTGCTTAGTTGGCATTCTGCTCACTGTCATAGCTCATCTGCACCACTGCTCCTTCTTTCCTTTGCTCGTCTAAAGGCAAGAGCCATTTTCTCCCAGACAGTTGTCACATCTCTCCCTGGATGTGTTTGTGGACCCTGGTTAGCCCGTATTCTTACTTACTCCTCTTACTGCTCTGGCAGGAAGTACATGTAGGACTTTGGCAGTCTAATGATCAGAATCACTCCGGGGTTTGGATCCCTTATGTCCTAGGCTTACCCACACCTCATCACACAGCCCATCTCAAAATAACAGACTGCAGTTTGTCCAATCACAGAATTTGTTTCTAGAGATAGAGCAAATTAGATCAAATAACTGCAATAGTAGTGAAGATAGTTGGACTTAACTAGCTAAAAAGTGTAACTGTGAGCAAAATTATAAACTATGGAGCTATGGGTGCTCTGGGTGGAAAAATCACCGCTAACGAGGTAGGTGTGGAAATACAAAGATTGGGTATTGGCTTTGTATGCAGTGTATAGCCTCTGTGGAATATAGAAAATCTTACCTTTCTCTTTACACCTTGGGGTTTTTATTTACAGAGGACTTACTTGAGTTGTTTCTGTCATCCCTTCCACCTCTAATATCCTGTTATGTTCCCTTAGCCTATCTTTTTAAAAAAAAAAAAAAAAACACGAGGTGGATTATATTTAAGTGCACTTTAGAGGAATGTGCAGATGTTCAACATGTAGTTGGTTCATACCAATTTATGAAAAGAAGGTCATCTCAGTAATGGCTGGTGAAAGGCAGTGTAAGCACTAATTATTTATAATGGTTATTAATCTTATCTTACATCTCACTGATCAAAAAAAGAGGTGGGGAGATACGGCTGGTACAAAAACAGTCTTTCGAAAAGTCCTTGAAAAACAAAGTGACTTTTCCACTGTTAATCCTCCATAAATGAATATTATCAGAGAAGGATTTCGGAAGGAGGTGGTGAAGAACTTAGCAGGTTTATTGAAGACATATCGGTCTGCAGAATTCTTGTGAACAAGCTAAATATCAACAACAACAAAATGATCCTGGTTTTTATGATTAAGTTAAGGAAAAGTCCCTATGTATGAAAGTCCTTGAAATGGTCTCATTTTTAAAAGCTGGACTAAATTTTAAGAAAAACCATGATTTGCCCTCTAGTTTCAAGGAAAAAAAGGAGTGTTTTAACAAAACTTCTAGAAATGTATATAAATCATTCGCACTCCCACCAGCAACAATATTTTAAACTAAAAAAAACTAGAAGCTCCTCAGGGCTCTTACAGACTACTACAGACCTTTTTAAAAGTCACTTTGTGATCCGTCAAAAATGCATCTTTCCCTAGAATCAGAAATCATATATACGCATACAACAAGAAGGCATCTTAATGCTTATACATACTTTATGTGTTCTTGTGCTACCGCTTATCAGGAAGCCTTCTACAGCTTTGATGAGTAAGTGCCAGTAAGACCAAAAAGGAGGGCAGAAGAGGAAACATAGCAATGAGGAAAGAGCTCGAACAGATAGTGATACAGAAGTGGTGCAGCTGTAGAGCGGAAAGAAAGCCACCATGGAGGTCTTTACAGTCTCTGCTGGGGATATAGCCCTTTGACCTTCATCAGTCCGCTCACTTTTAACTGTTTATTCACTTGTTTGCCACATATTTTTTTTTGAAAACCCATTGTCTGCTAGGAATGGTGCTAGGCATAAATGAAACTGATACTGTCCATGTTCTCATGGAGCTGATCATTCTATCAAGGTTATGGTTCTAGTAGGCATGACTGTCCTATTGGGAAAAGAGTAAAGGAAGCAGATCTTAGATTTACAAAGGGTTCTTCTGACTGAACAGATCCCAGGCATCCAAGTGAATAAACAAAGGAAAGCAAACAGAAATACCTCATCGTTATTACTCTTCCAGTGATACAATCCTGTGGAGATAAACGACGCTTTCACAGAGCTGACCCAGGGAGGTTCACTAAGCTTTCACCTTGGGTGTTGGACTCAAGGTGACTGTGCCGATGTCTGAGAGTCTGGGTGTGTCTTTGTTAGGAGAGGACAAGGGGAGAGGGAGAAGATGAGACAGAAACCAAAGGAACATCACAGAAACAAGTACACATCAATCCATGAACCAGAACAACCAAAGCATCTTTCTACTGATTGCAAAGGCTTTCCTTTGTTTCTCTCAAGAATTATCCAGCTCTCTTGTCATTGTTTTTTGTGACCTCTTCACTGTTTGCTGATTGCTTGACACAGTGGGTCTAATTATCTCTAGGCATCCAACCTGTTTTAATGGAGGGGAAAGTTTATCTGTGTGAACGGAAAGACTCACCTACCAGTTGGTCCTAAAGTCTTTCCTCAGGAAACACAGGAATAAATTTGAAAGCTGTTCAATGGTGAGTAGGAGTGTAAACTTTTCATTTATGGCTTTTTTTTTTTTATGGCAGGAAGTAAACATTCTTTTTCTTCCTTACAGTTAGGTACTGCAGTAAGCATTTGTCATTTGTGGATCCCAAATAGTGTCAGGTTTCCCTGCGGAATTGCGTTTCTCCTCTCACATTCAGTTGTAAAAAGACAGTAAATTCAGGCAATCAGCCCCCAATATAGAACCCAAGACAAGGCAGGCCCTGTCCAGGCAAAGGGTCTGCAATTGGCTCTTTGGCAACTTGGTCCTGAGACTTTGAATCTCAAACAGGTGATACCAGAATGAAAGAAACCACTGAATTTCTAGTTATCCATTTACTTATTTATCCCACAAAGATGTCCTGAGAGTATGCTCTGTGACAGGCATTTTTCTAGATGCTGGTGATACAGTACTAAGAAAGACAAAGTTGCTGTTCTTCTTAGTTTCGTATTTCAGTTGGTGAAGGTAACCAAACAAATGAAGAAGATATTTTCAGATAGGGACAAGCAGTGTAGAGAAGATGAAACAAGAAAATATGACCAAGAGCAGGAAGTAATGTAAGAATGAGATAGAAAGGAAGAAAAGGAACCAGCCTAGGGATACTTGCAGGGTAGAGTGTTCTAGCCAATGGTTTAGTCCCATCATCATAGAAATTTACTAAGTAGTAACATTAAAAAATAAGAAAACCTCTCTTGATCTAATATCTTTCTGTTCTTCCCTTCATAGAAAAATTCATCAAAAACAGTCACTTATTTTTCTATCCCTCTCTAATGTCCTCCAACCAAAGGTTCATAGTCTCCGCTGAAATGACTTTCATTCAGGTCACCACCCACCTCCATCTTGTCACCTCCCTTCAGTAGCTACATTCTGACTTGGATTGTCCTTACTATGAGTCCTGCTTCCCAGTGTCTGGAATGGCCCTTTATTGCTACCCATTCCTAACCCTAACTGCAGCCTCGGCTGATTTCATGAGCCCTAGTAAAACACCAATTAATTCCCTTTTTCTTTTCTTAGCCAGCATTGGCTTCTATTGCTTCCAACCAATAAAAACCTAATCTTTGCATTTACATTTTTCTTTTCTTTTTTTTTTTTTTTTTTTTTTTGGATTTTTACCTAGGAAACCCAATTGTTTAACTTACAGCACAATCCTCATTTATTCTTTTGCTTACATTCATTGCTTTCCTTACAATCCTTCATGTTTTTCTCATGCTTTGCTATTTTAGGCTCTGTAGAATCCATGGCCTTTGTGTCTGTATTAAAATTTCTTTTTTAAAAAAAATTTTTTTTCAACGTTTATTTATTTTGGGGACAGAGAGAGACAGAGCATGAACGGGGGAGGGGCAGAGAGAGACGGAGACACAGAATCGGAAACAGGCTCCAGGCTCTGAGCCATCAGCCCAGAGCCCGACGCGGGGCTCGAACTCACGGAGCGTGAGATCGTGACCTGGCTGAAGTCGGACGCTTAACCGACTGCGCCACCCAGGCGCCCCCTGTATTAAAATTTCTTAGAGATTTGTTAGCACTAAAAGTAAATATAATCTATCCAAACATTATATTTTCTTTAGTTAATAATTTTCTTATACTTCCCATAAAAAATTTAGTCACGAGTCAGTAAAAGCAAACAAGGTGACAGTAGGGAAACCTAAGAAGGCTTGTATCAGAAAAGCCATCTTCATCAGGATTTTCTCCTGGCTCACAATCAAATGGATAGCCATGTTTTGGTGGATATTGTACTCTGAAGGATACTTTCAGCTACACGTACCAGAAGAGGGAACTCATAGGAGTTAACTCACAAGGGAATTTGCACACTCATGTGACTAGAAAGTCCAGAGGTTAAATGTTCTTCAAGATCAATCAGTGATGTTATCAGCACACAGTATGTTTCCATCTCACCAGTCTTTTATTAACTGCCTTGGCCTCTTCTGAGGGCTTGTTTTCTTCTTGGGCAGAGAACGGCCTCCAGTAGTGACTGGGACTTGAGGTGACTTTGTGTCCACTGCTGAAGTGACAAAAGTCCAATGTTTTGTTCTCACTGGGAAATTTGAAATAGCTGGATCACTATGGCTGGGGAAATGTTTGGGGGTTTTGTTTGTTTTCCCCAGGTGCCACTGGGAAAATATTGATTAGCTTAAATACAAACTCTATGTTCTCCCCCAAACCAAGCACTGTCGCGGTGGGAAAAAGATCTCTTAGAACCCAT